CAGGCTCCTGACTTCCACACTCAATGCGTTGCATGGCTGGTGGCCTTTTCACAAGAAGATCATTGATTGGTTACCTCACAGGTGTGCAGCAGAACATTTTTAAAAGTGAAGCCCAGGTGAGGGTAAAGGAGTCTTCCCTTCCCAATAACTAGTGACCTTGGGCCAGTCACACAATTTCTCAGCTTAAACCACTCACTCTGTAAAGGAGAATGTTAAAGAAGGCTGAGGGTGATTGTGAGGAAGCCAGGTGATAACATATAAAGAGTTTGGGGGACACAGTATATCTGCACAACCATGGTTTGTTCACACACTGAGCTCACACAGCTGCTTCAGCACCAACCTGGGCACTTCTCACATCCTGCAGACGGAGCCTCTAGAGGGTGGTGGGGCCCAGAGCAAAAAGGGGATGTATGTGTACCCCAGAACTGGAGAGCACCTATAGGCTCAGTAACTACATGTGACCACATTTTACCTGCTTTTAACTTGAAAACTTGTGAAAGGACACAGGAGGAAGAGATTTGCTGTCTGGTGAGACTGACTTTGTCATTGTGAATTTCATAGCTGATTACAATTGGAAAATTATTTGTAAATGCTATCATTTCTGTCAACAGTACATATTTTGAGAATTAGACAACATTCTATATTTTCAAATCAAAATAAAATTATATTTTAGATAATATAGACTTTTATTTTCCTTGCAAAAATATCTCACTTTCCTCTTTCATCACTCATTTTGCTTCCTTCCTTTTGGGGTGTCTCTGCCTCCCATTCTTAAGGACAAAGTCCATGCCTTGTAAGTTTTATATAAGAAGATAATTGTCTGGTTATTGCTTACATGCAATGGAACACAATTATTCATTGAACCATCAAAATCATTGACTCAATAATTTTGTGTGTGCCTGTCTTAGCACCTGGGGCTACAGATAATGATGGTGGATGAAATAGTAATAGGATTTTCACTTTACTACTACAGTTACAAAATAACTTTAATGAACCAAACAGAAGGTCTTAGAATCACACATAAAGAAGGTAGGATCTGACTGGTTCCAGGTGATTAGGGAAGAACTCTCTGGGGCAGGGGATTGAGAGGGTTCTGAAGTGTGAGAGACTTAGGTGCAGGTGAGTGGGGATTGTGAAGCCAGTGGAGGTGGACCATGGAGACTGAGAATGACCTGAGAGAGAACCCAAAGAGGTAGCTTGGGGCCAGTTGATGTGGGATTTCAGGGGTTTTGGTGATTGTAGTGGAAAGTTGATAAAGAGCTTTAAAGAGCCGAAGGACTAAAATGACCAGAAAATTAAGTCTTAATTTGATACCAATGAAATGAGGAAGTTGGAAAAAATGACGGGACCAGGGTGGCTGCCAGGTAAATTTCTGAGTCACCAATTAAAAAGCTGCTCCTCTTGTTCAGTCTATTCACAGTCACAGGCGGGAAGAGCTCTTATGAGTAAGTGAAGAGGTCAGGAGGAGACTGGGAGGAAGTTGAAGGTGTTAGGAACAGAGTTTGGTGCAAGTTCTTTGGTGGAAAAACAGTTTGGAGGAGGAAGAGCAGGATTGTTTCCAGGGCTCCAAAGGAGAAGTGTGTAGTATTGGTATCTGAGCAAATAGTGAGAAAACTATGAGTCTACTTGTCACTTCTTAAACTTAGGGTGTCAGGGGGACATACAAGAAGAGATGTCAGATCATATTGGAGACTCAAATCTGAAACTTAGGTGAGATTAGGATAAGGGGTTGATCGATCCCAGCTGTGATGGAGGCAGGACTGGGAGCATTTGCGAAGTGGCAAGCCCTGATGCTGAGTGGACAGCATGAGTCCTGCAGAAGCCAGAGAAAAACAGCTTTCCTTTCTCTTCCCCACCTGGCGCCAGGAGAGCTGATGCACATGCTTGCTTTCAGCTTGGTGCTCTTCTGCCCTCATGCATGCAAAACCCCCTTTAGCTTTCTGACTCACGTGCCATTTTCAATCTTTGACTGGTTATTCTCTCACAGACATACACATCGTGGGACACCTGTGAGGTAGGCGCCTATTTGATCTGCCTCTTTAGCCTTTGAGCGTTCAATGTCCCTTAACAGCCATTGCTTTTCTAAACCTTTATGGAGCACCTATGGGGCAGGTTCTGCATTAAGTTCCGGGTTCACTATGAAACAAAACTCCTGCTCTTGTGGCACTGACCTTGTATTTGCCAGTAGTGAGGGGACAAGGGGCAGCAGGGACAATAGTTACATGTCTGGTGATATATGAGCTGAATGGAATAGAGCAAACTAGGCCTCCCTGGTGGTGCAGTGGGTTAAAAGCACAGCACTACGAAGCTAGCCAAGCCACAGGTGTTTCAGTGTGAGTTCAGTCCCTGGCCAGGGAGGTGACCCGCTTGGCGCAGCAGACCTCACCTATCCTGACACACCCACTGCTCCCCTCAGTAGTGTACTTCATAGAGCTGCCAGTTCTGCTTCCCACTCTCTCTCTGGTGACTCCTCTCACCACCCCTGTACCTCTGGCCTGTACTCCAGTTCTGTATGCATAAATAAATAAACTTTTTTTATTATTTATTTTCTAAATAATAGAGCAAACTGAGTGAGTGAGGTTAATGAACTGACATGGGCAAAGGGCTTCCTGAGGAAAACTGAGACTCAAATTTAGTGAGTAAACCGCGTGTCTAGATCAGAGTCACCTGGGGGCTGCCTGCCTTCCCACCTTCTGTGAGTCATCAAGCTGTGTCCGTTCTTTCTCCTAACTCTCCTGCCTCTCCTATCGTTTCTAGCCTCAGGTCTGTGCTGTGCTCCACCTGGCCTGTTGCACACCTCTGACAACTGGTATCGCGATCTCTGCCCTGGCCCACTGTCATCTACTCTTGATGCGCCTCCATCTTTTGTCTAAACGCGGCTTCTCAGCACTCAGACTCCTGGGTTCTGCAGTCATGACTGGTGCCACTACAAGGCAGTGCCGCTTCCTTGCCTGGCACCAGTATATTTCGCCATCTGCTCTCTGCTCTTGTTGGCACAACTTTTGCTGCCCTCATCCTTATATTTAATGCTCCTGCTGTATGAAAATCCTCACATTTCTTTTGAAAGCCCTGCAGCCTTATGCTCAGCTTTCTTGACCCATGGTCTTTAATTGTATTGAAATGCATTGTGTGTTCTTGCCCCCACCCCAACCCACAGGTGATTCAGACATCGGCCCTGTTTGTGTCTTTTTCCCTTCTCCTTCTCCATAGGTTTCCATTATGATTCTTACCCATTACATTTAATGGTTTAGCATGTCTCTCCCATTTATTTGAGGTCTGGCTCTTCAGCTCATTTATTTTTGTGTCCCCAAAAGTTAGCAAAATGTGTGACACATTTATTACCATTTAGTAAATACCAACAAAATAACATGTAATTGGACTGAGTTTGTATCACTTTAGGTATGATTTTATAGAGGAAACTAAGACTCCCAAAACATGAGCTTGTTTCCTGGCTTCAGATATCATTTGGTAATTTGTGAGAATCCAGCACTGACTGTTTTAAGAAAACAGTTAAAAAAAAAAAAAAAACAAGGCTTGAAGAGAAACACCTGCCAATTTAAAGTACTAAATGCCAATTACATTTTTCTGAACACTTTAGATTTTACTTTAAGGCTGCAACAGTAAGGTAAATTGATACACGGTCACCAATTTTCAAAAAGTTGTTTCAATTTCAAATAATTTCTCAGAGAAATAGTGTTATATACAGTGTTTCAGTATTTCTGTATCAGTGACACTCTGGAGACAGATCTCACAATAATTAAACAGGGGAAGCCTAGTGCAAACAGTAGACTACAGTAGTGGAAAATGCAAGAATGTAAATATAGCCAAGTGCAGGGCAACGGCCATCCCGAGGGTCCAACTTCCCCCATCCCGAACACAGGGATCCAGACTACACTGGAGAAGCTGTGGCTGTCCCCAGGATGGCAGAGTCCGCCACAGAAGTGCTTCCCTACAAGGCTATGTGTGCTGGGGGACAGTTGTCCAGAGAGAGATGTGTGCCGCAGGGTTCTCTGGGACTCTGCCGGTGCAGGGGCGGGACGTGGGGTTGTACTTTGGGAAACCACTCCCGGGGGGGGGTGTCTGGACTCAGCCAGCCTGGTTGTTGCCACATCTCTCCAGGTAGCAGAAAACCAAGAATGAGGCAGGCGTCTTTCTTCCATTCGTGTTTCTCTAATAACCTCAAAATCATGCTACCTTCACTGGCAGAGTGGTTGCCCTGAGAAGCAGTAGCCAACTGGCAGTGGAGATGACCTGTTTGCATTTAACATGAGGCAGCTGTAACAAATTAGAGAAAACATGCAGTTGACAAAGGTCATGTGGGGCGACCCTGTGCAGTTGAAATCCCATGTATAGGGTTCGCCCTCTCTAACCACAGGTTTTGCCACCACAAATTCAGCTGATGTAGTTTTAAGTGAAAACTTTACCAAAGAGGTATAAGATGGCCGCTAAACATGCAGTGATGCTCAGCATCATTAGTTATTAGAGAAATGAAAATGAGACAATGAACTGCCATTTCACAACTTGTAAAATGGTCATAATCAGGAAGAGAAGCAATAACAAATCAGGATGTGGAGTGACTGGAGGTCTCCTGGTCCGTTAACTCCAGGCATGTAGAACCTGTGGCTGGAGAACATCCCATGTCAGTGGATCCTCCCAGCTCAAGACCGTGTTTATGGAGACAGCTGTGCCTGGTGAGATGCGTGCATGGGTAAAGGATTCGGTTGTAGAAATGTCCATGACCTTGGGGGAAGGGATGGACTGTATGTAGGGCAAAGTTTCACCATCTTAAGCTTCCTCAACACCAATTGTTGTCTCTTCTAAACATTTCAACGTTTTAGAGAGATTTCGGACTTCTGTTTATGTCATCACTTACTGTGCATTACAAAACAGTTTGAATAATTGTAAGATATCTGCTGCCATAACTGTCTAGGTTGCAAAAACAAGTGGTGACGAGTCCCTGCCTAATTGTACATAGCTTGATTTTGATTTTTGTTTCTCAGGTTTTTCTGAAGAGTGATCGAGTGGCCAGAATGGTGCAAAGTGGAGGGTGTTCTGCAAACGACTTCAGAGAGGTGTTTAAGAAAAATATAGAAAAACGTGTGCGGAGTTTGCCAGAAATTGATGGCTTGAGCAAAGAGACAGTATTGAGCTCCTGGATCGCCAAGTATGACGCCATCTACAGGGGTGAAGAGGACTTGTGCAAACAGCCAAATAGGATGGCCCTCAGTGCTGTGTCTGAACTTATTCTGAGCAAGGAACAACTCTACGAGATGTTCCAGCAGATTCTGGGCATTAAAAAACTCGAGCACCAACTCCTCTATAATGCATGTCAGGTAAGTGGTCCATTTTTCCCACTCCTATGTCCGACTTGCACAATGAACATTGCTTCCATGAAGCCTACCTGTTATTTGGGTAGAAAATTGAGTGGACTTGAATTTTAATAAAGAGTGATATGCAAAAGAAGCGTTGAAAGAATTACTTGCTAGAGGGAGAAGAACATCAGTACATTTTACCTACTAAATAATTGTTCCCATGTGCCCTATTTTAGGGCATCAGATTTATGCCAGTGGGGTATATTTAGGGCATGGTCCAAATAGTAAAGTGAAAACCATCTGTTATCTGAAGAAACTTGGCAATTTATTATATACAGGTATTCCTCAGTGCCAAATAATTTGCCCTAAGAGATTTGATGCTGGTATTCTGAGTTTTATGGAAGTAACTGAAATTTCAATTTTCTTTCACCTTGCCAGACAGAAACAAATTGAAGAGGCTTGCTAACCTAGGAATTTAAAGAGATGACAGAGTGAACAATATATTTCTTCTTAGTTGTTATTCTAATCATAAATATGAAAAACTGGATAAACCTGCTTTTTCATTTTCAGGCCCTACCATTGGTCTAATAATGCATACCTTCCATATTTGCAGTTTGTGATCTCTGCCCTAATAAACAATTTAAGTGGATAAAATTTTGACATTTTAAAGTCCATGTGTTCATTAATAGTTGCATCTGTATAATGTACTTGTTTACATTTATCTTTAATCTTTTCGCAAATCTACTTAATTTCTGTATTCTGTCTGTAATTTACTTTGCATAACTAATCGTGGATCATTTCAAATGCATAAGTTAACAGTTATTTCATAGTAATGTGACATCTTAATTAACCTGTGAACAGCTTATGCATGCACCGTGCTTGTTTTTGCTACATTATTAAACTAGGTGGTAGTTACAACAGGCAGTGGCTGTAAAACCAAAATCTTTTACTTAAAAAGTAATGCAACTGTGACTTATATTTCTAATGTAACAGTAGTTCATTTGTGTAGTTAAATATTGATGAACATAATTTTGTAGTGAAATTCAGACTCAGACATTTAATAGATCTTTATGGAGTAGGCAAGTCAGATCCTTACGAGGTATTAAGGAGACCTGGTTGAGCAAAATAAGATAACCTGTTTTTAGTTTTTGTTTTTTTTTTTAAGATTTTTTTATGCATATAGAACTGGAGCACTGGCCCCAAATTTGCAGGGGCAATGAGAGGATTCACCAGAGACAGAACAGTGAGCAGAACAGGCAGACTGATGAAGTACACTGCTGAGGGGAGCAGTGGGCAGGTCAGGAGAGGTCTGCCGCACCGTGTAGTCAGCTCCCTGGCGGGGAATCAAGCTCAATGTGGTTTTAGCTTCATAGCGCTGTGCTTTCACCAGTGAGAGCCCTAGATACCTGTTTTCTATATTCACAAGTCTTAATAGAGCAGGTCGACCTTTCAATTGGTTATTATATATGCTTTACAATTTATGCTCAGTGTTGACATTATAAGATGATAAGATAAATACCTGTGGACCTATCAGTCAGTTAATTCAGACTATTTTAACATGTATCCCTTGCTTTCTAAGATTACTTTTACAGTAAAAGTGTGGACTCCTGTTTTTTTTTTTTTTTTGCTTATAATTAGAACATATGTCTAATGCACATTTTCAATCTGTAATGAGTTTGTTTTTCCTTCCAGTCCTGTCCGTATTTACCTTGCGTATTTTGATGCTCTGGTTCATACACATTTAAAACAGCTGTCTTTGGGTGGAATTAACTCATCATTATATCACATCCCTTTTTATTCTTGATAGTGACATGTTTTCCTGAAGTCTATTTTGAAATTAATATAATGAAACCATTTCCTTTTGATCGGGTTAACATGATGTGTTCTCCATCTGCTTATCTCTATCCTAGCTGATTCTTTGTTGAAAGTGGGTTTTTTTTTTTTTTAAGATTTATTCATTTGTGCATACAGAACTGGGGTACCGGCCAGAGGCTCAGGGGCGGCTAGAGGCTTCACCAGAGACAGAGTGGGGAGCAGAACAGACAGATCGACGAAGTACACTGCTGCGGGGAGCAGTGGGCGGGTCAGGAGAGGTCTGCCACGCTGTGTGGATCTCCTCCGGGGATCGAACTCATGTGGAAGTGGCTTTATCTTCTTAGTGCTGTGCTTTAACCCACTGTGCCACCAGGGAGGGCCAGGTTGTTATTTTTTATAGGCACATAATAATTGCATAATTGCTCTTGGTTTTTCTTTTAATGCAACATGACATACTCTTTTAGTGGGAGTGTTTAGACTACTCACGTTTAAAGTGGTGCCCTAAGAATAAAATCTGAAGTCTTTGGTTGTCACTTTCCTGCATTTGACCCCCCTCCTGCTTTTTTCTAGTTTTAATTGAACCTTTGTCTGAGTCCATTTGATACCCTCTCTTTATATACTACTTGTTGTTTTTAAAACTTGCTTGTCTGGTGGGTATCCTAAGATTTACAATATACATTTTAAAATATTCTAAGTCTACTTTTATTTATTTTTTTAAAGATTTATTTATTTATGCTTACAGAACTCGGTTACAGGCCAGAGGTGTGGTGAAAAGATTCAACAGAGACAGAGTGGGGAGCAGAATAAGCAACTGACGAAGTGTACTGCTGAGGGGAGCAGTGGGCGGGTCTGCCACACCATATGTGTCAGCTCCCAGGAAGGGGATCGAACTTGTGCTGCAGTGGCTTCTGAGAGCTTCATAATGCTGTGCTTTAACCCACTGCACCATCAGGGAGAGCCCTAAATCCACTTATAAATACCACTACAGGGTTCAAATGCACTGTAGCTATCTTACAGTCATGCCCAGTTTCTCCTCCTCACCACTTGTGATATTTCGGTCATTTATTTCAGTTATTTAGTTCTATGCCATAATCATCCAAACTACTGTTCTGGGACAGAGTTGGGTTGGGTGTAGGGCAGAAGAGGTGGTGGTCGGGGTGAGGGAGATTGGGGAGTGTTTGTGAAAGAATACACCAGAGACACAGTGGAGAACAGTAGAGTTGGATTTACTGAAATGCTGTGCTGCCTGGGAGTCTGGAGGCTCTGATTATATTCATGGCTTTGGTTAGGGGGACTAGTGTCAGGTGGATCTGGACTAATGATCTGAATTTGCATACAGGATCATCACATTAAGGGATATCAGCTTCATGGCCCAAGTTCTCCAGGACAGTCCCATTCACTCCCTTGATCCATTTAAGCCTCCCTATCCTGCCTGTGGGGGAGGGCCGATGGCTTCCTTGTTCAATTTTGCAATGATACCACGACAACTACTACTGCTTTTAACAGTGAACTCTTTGATCTGTTAAGAATAGTTAAAACATGCTTCTATTTCTTCACTTATGTCCTCTGCTATTCTATTTTGTAGGTCGGACTAGGTTTCTTTTTTTTTTTTTTAAATATTGATTTATGCATACAGAACTGTGGTATAGGCAGAGGTGCAGGGGTGGTGAGAGGCTTCACCAGAGACAGTGGGGAGCAGAACAGACAGATCGACAAAGTACGCTGCTGAGGGGAGCAGTGGGCGGGTCAGGAGAGGTCTGCTGTGCCATGTGGGTCACCTCCAGGGCCTGGGATCAAACTCATGCTGAAGTGGCTTTAGTTTCTTAGTGCTGTGCTTTAACTCACTGCAGCACCAGGGAGTTCCACAGTCTAGGTTTCTGATCTATATATTTATCTTATCTCTGAAAAACCTCATTTCTTGTAGAGCAAGATCTCTGACCCTGCACTCCCTGTTCTATTTGAGTCTGTTTCTCCATGTGTAAAGGGGGATGATGGCTTCCTTGTTCAATTTTGCAATGATACCATGCCAACTACTACTGCTTTTAACAGTGAACTCTTTGATCTGTTAAGAAAGTTAAAACATGCTTCTTTTTCTTCACTTATGTCCTCTGTTATTCTATTTTGTAGGTTGGTCTAGGTTAACACTAAACTTAACACTAATGACTGGCTCCACCCTCTTTTTACCTTGTTCCGCTACATCTGATGAGACTCTGACTGTTTCTGTAAGCTGTTTGTGACTTGGATTCCTGCTGTATTTTCTATGTAAGTTTTCTGCAGTTTCATTATAGCACTCCAAGGTATAGTCTCTTTGCTTGTGTTTCTCTTGTTTGGTGTTTTCTGAGCTTCCAGAATCTGGAGGTTGGTTTCTGTCATTAGTTTTGAAAAATTAGCAGATACTCCTTCTGTCCCATTTTCTGCCTCCCTTCAACTCTCCTCTCTCTCCTACTTTAGTGTGGTCCCATAGTTGCAGGACTTCTATTTTTTGAGTCATTTTTCCTCTTCATGTTTCAGAATGGAAAGTTTCTGCTGACCTTTCTTCAAGTTCACTGATTCTTTTCTCAGTATCTTCAGGTCTACTGTGCTAAGCCCATTAATGGCATTATTCATTTCTTTCAGAGTTTATTTCTGGCATTTCCTTTTGACCTTTCTTCGTTTCCATCTCTCTGCTGATGTTACTTACCTATTCACGCATGTTTTTATTTTTTTCACCACAGCCTATACCTTGTTAATAAGTTATTTAAATCCCTTGATGAGGACCACAGACAGCATCCTTGGTTTGAATGTTTAGTTTGTCTCTCTAAACTTTGTATTTCTTTTTGCCTTTTGTTATGCCCTGTTTTTATTTTATTTTATTTTATTTTATTTTATTTTATTTTATTTTATTTTATTTTATAAAACCAGACATATCAGGTGTCTAGAACTGTGATAGCATTGCCTTTAGTGTCAGGATTTATGTTACCTGTGTAAGAGCTGGCCTGTGTGTAATGTTTCTTGTAGCCATAGGCATAAGAAGCTCTAAATTCTAATAGCATCCTTGTTTCCATCTCCTGTTTTGACTTGAGACTTCCCTAAGTCTTCCTCCTCAGAGAGAGTCTGTGTCTAGCAGTTCTTTTAGTAGTGTCCCACCTTTGTTAGGCTGGAGCTATGTCAATTGCTGGGGAATAGGGAACAGTCTGTAATCTGATTTTTAGTCTTTCAGTGGACCT